ATTCTAACATTTATTACAAGGATAATAGAGTTTACTATTTTCCAATCTCTCGATATTGTTTGTCGCAAACTTCATAAATTCTTCAACACATGTTGCATACTCATCCGTTAAAACTAGTTTTTTTTTTACATCTAATAAAACTGTTTTAAAAAAAGAATTTGGTTCTTCCTTCTCTCTTGATTATCAGTATTTACTAGGCGTTTAGCCTGCACCTTGTGCGAGCATAGAGATTTCAATGTTATAAACCAAAAGCTGAAAAGAATTAAAACAACTATTTAAGACATACATGATGAAATAAAGCAAACCCAAAAAGTAAACATTATCAAAAATTAAAAACAAAAATATTTACTAAATAAATGTATTGAACTCGCAAATCAATTGAACTAAGACAAAAATTAGTTTTTCTTCTCTACATAATTGTTTTTCATCTTCTTATTTTTTCTCTTATTTATCTTTTAATTTTTCTTCTTTATCGTCTTTCCTTATATTTCTTCATATATTTCCATCTTTATCTATCATTCTTCTCTCACGTCTTCTTCTTAGTTTTCTTTCATTTTCTTTTTATTTATTTTTCCTCTTCTTCTTCATTTTATATTTCTTTTCTTACTTCTTATTCTTTAAGTTTTTTTTTGTCACATCTTCTTCTTCTTCGCTGTTTTCCACATTTTTTCTTCATTTTCTTCCTATTCTATTTCTACTTCTTTTTCATAACCTTTGTCTTCTTCGTTCTCTCCGACTTCTTATTCTTCTTATTTTTCTTCGCCTTTTATATCAATCAAATACATGTTCTTGAAAACTTTAACTCTCTCTCTCTCCCCCCCTCCATGCGTCCTTCCCTATCATTCTCTCATTCTCTCCCTTCCCTCCTCGTCCTAAATTGTATATCATACGATTTAGATAATCACATTTAAAGTAAAAGTGTTTCAAATATAAAAAAATAGGAACACAGAATACGAACTAACATAGATTTATTATGTACTTATAAGGTTTAACTCTCCCTACCATTTCTCTCTCTCTCTCTCTCTCTCTCTCTCTCTTTCTCTCTCTTTGTATTTCTCTCCCTCACACTCTCTCTATCTCTCCATCTACATTTCCCTGAAGCATCTAATTTTTCTTATTATGATTTTTTTTTGTCTTTTTCTTCATCATTTAATTATTCTTTATCATCGACGTCAATTTTTTTTCCTTATCTTTTCTTTCCTCTTCTTCATCGTACTACAACTTCTATTTCATTTCTCTCTTCAGATTTGTCTTCTTCTTCTTCTTCCTCTTTTTTTCTACTCTTTTTCCTGTTCTTTATCTTTTGGTTTAATTCTTCTTTGTATTTTTCTAATTTTTTTATTTTTGTTTTATTGTCTCTTCTCAGTCTCCAATTTTAAGGTTTGTCTTTTTTTTTCTGTCCAAATTCTTCATCTTATTTTTCCTCATATTTTTCTTCTTCTTCTTCATCATCTTTGACTTGTACTTTTTTTGTTTTCATCTTCTTTTTCCTCATATTTTCCTTCTTCTTCTTCTTCTTCATCGTCTTTTGACTTGTACTTTTTTTTCTTCTTCCTCTTATATATCTTTTGATTTTCTTATTTCTCACCCTTATCTTTCATCTTCATCATTGTCTTTGACTTCTTCTTCTTCATCATCTTTTTATTCTCTCAGTTCTTCTTCTTTTTCAATCTTTATTAGCCTTCTTTATTCTCTACTTCTTATTCCTCTTTGGCTATAATACTCAGTTTGGAGTTGCCACAAAGAGGGGAATGCCATTGACGTTTTTATTATCCCAAACCCAAAGGGTTGGAAATTCAGAATACATATACAATATGGCTTAATGATATTCATAATTACACTTCAACCAACCTGTAAATTTATCGTTGTAAACATCAGCAGAAAAATGTTCATCTTCTGTAAAAATTATTTGAGATGGAGGCAGATGATATGGCAAAATCTGAGGATCACGGCGGGGACGATTGCTAGTCGCTACAGAAAATTCATAATTTTTTTGAAGGAAATAACTATTAGGCAATAGATTACATAAGAAGAACATCTAGAAGCAGAAAAAAAATTTAAAGCACAAATTAAAATTAAAAAAACAGAAATTTTTATTTACCTGGTGATATTATTGTAAGGCGAGAGATGAAATATTCAATCGGCGAATGCATAAATAATAGTATATATTGATGTTTAAAAAAAAACATGTATGAATTTTTTAAAAAGATACTAGATCTTAGAAGACGGATATTGTATATAAGAAAACATGAAAACTGAGACGAGTATATATATAGCATGATGGATACGCTAGAGTTTAGGTTAGTACCAACTTTGATATCGGTGACCCATTGGCTAGGGCCGACTTCGAGATCGGTGGCCCATAAACAAAATCGATAGCGCATAATCGAGAAAAAAATCATGTCAAAGGAATTTACACGTAAGATTAATTATCGACCTATCAGAACTAATTAAAATACGACATAATTTTTTTTTATAATGATACGTAGGACAATCGCTGTGGAAACGACACATCAGATTTTTTCCTCTAAAGGTGTCCACATAGGATTAAAAAAAGGCAATTTTATTGGTCCACATCAACATCGAAAATTAAGAAAGTTTCCAAAAATTAATATTATTGTTAATAAAAAATAGAAAACAATAAGAAAATTATGTATCAAATTTTCATTGGTCCACCACAATATTGAAAAATAAAAAAGTTTCCAAATTTGATTATTTTCTTAAAAAAATATTTGAGAGAAAATTATGTATAAAATTTATATTAATAAAAAAAACTAAATAATATTAAAGTAAGAAAATTATATAAATAATTAAGAACAAATATAATAGTTATTTGTTTTTTTACATATACACGTATATTTAGAGACTCCTACATTATCATCTAAATTTTTTGTCATATAACTATAAAAAAAATTAGTGTGTGTGTGTGTGCAACCATTTCAACTAAAATAAAAAAATAAAAGAATAGAGTTAGTTTTCACTAAGGAATGAGTTATTACAACGTAAAAGAGCCAACTTGGCTTAACTATCCAATAAACTATTACCTAAAAAGGATTATGATGAAAGGAGATATAGACAAGTCACTACAAGCCGCTTTAATGTCGAAAAAGAGACCTTAATTCTCCAAAGGTTGGCCACCGTATTTGAGAAGAAGGATAAGTTCCAAACAATCCGAGAAACATGTGAAGTAATTGATACTCAACACTTTTGAAAAATAAAGCACTGAAAATAGAGAAAGAAGTTTCACCATTAAGGCGGAGGAGACTGAGGTATTCGAGGAATATTCTTTGGAATAACATGAAATTTGACCAGGTTTTAAAAACCCAATTTGAACCACAATGATAACAATTAGCTGATCAAACAGCATCTGATTACAATCAGTAAGCTTCATCACAAGGAGGAGTGACTGCAACCACTTGCCGCAAAAGACCTCGTGTGGAATCTTCTAGCTTTGATTTTTAACACATACGGGACTCAAAGTTATATAAAAGCTGAAATTACTTAATTGAAATTACATAAGATCGTGAATGCATTTAATATATGTTACCGGATAAATTACGATTTCTAGATTTTTCAGGTAAACAAAAAAGCATATTTATTTTGTCGGTTTTTTTTATTATTAAGTTGTTTTAGTGTTCATTCCATAATTAGTTTTGTTTTGGGTTCAAAAACTAATTTTTTCTTAGTTACGAGAGTAAGATTTGTGATTATTAGTTTGCTTTTTCATTTGTAAATTAAACTGAAAATTTGTATTGATTAAAGTAGCTAAAATTTTAACTATCTTGCTTTCTCTGTATTCCATAGAAAATATATATAATGAGAGTGAAACTAAATAAAATAGAAAATTGTATTCCCTTTGATTGAAAAAAGTAAGGTATAATCATTAAAAATTAATTAACCGTTAACATAAATAATATGATACAAGACAAAAATTATCATGAATCTGAAAGTAAAAATCAATGACCCATAATTAAGAAAAAAACAATGTTATAGATATTTACACGAAAGACAATCAATGTGGAGACGATACATTAGATTTTTAACCTCACAAATAATAATATAGTATGGGATCAACGATCCTCTAGTATAGTAGTATTAGTCCGACTTATGTTGACAATCGAAGTGTGAGAAGCAAGCAAACATTAGTTATTCAGCTGAACCGGTTTGGTATTGGTACAAAGAGTCAGCCGAAGTTAATTGGTTCTGGTTTAGTTGTCTCAAGTTGTACCGGTAGTTTGTTAGAGTAAGGGCAACAAAGTATTTAGAGCATTCGCAACGCGATATTTAAGACCGTTTCTTTCAATTATTTATATTAAAAATAATCAAAAGAGGAGACTCAAGCTTAAAAACGTCTCTTATTTGAGAACAGGAAGAAACGTTTTTTCCTTCTTCTCCCTGCCATGTGTAACATCTCAATTGATTAGGCTAAATTGGGATAAAATTAAAGAAGACAAATTTTTTTTTGAAGAAATCCTATACAATTTTTTCCATTGGACCATGCAAAATTAGTGGATCTCTTTAATAAATTTCTTCCCTACTTTAAATATTAAAAATTTTAAATAAGAGATTAAAATGAATCTCTGCATTGCGGATGCTCTTAACCAGCGTCTCTCCCATTTTTAGGTTAATTAATTAAATGAAAAACATAAAAAATGGCCAGAGACGTTTCTAAATTTAGAGTCGGGAGAAACGTCTTTTAAGTTGCACGTGTCAAAAATTCATTGGGCTAAAAAACAAGGGGAAAAAAATTATGTTTTGGGTCCTCATTCTTTTTTTTTTTACTCGAAATGTTTTTCGCTCTCCTTACTTCGTTCTCTCCGTCGAACCGCTACTCATCGATGCCATCGGGATCCTTCATCGCCGAGTGTTTCAGACGGAGGCGGCGATTTCTTCTCATCATCTACGTGGTGGAATCGACGAGTATGGATGGATTGAAGCTTTGTTTTTGTGGTTTATATGGTTGCACGAGAATAGAACGAAGCAGAGATTGAGAAAATCTGATGAATGGAGGAGGCTCGAAGAGTTTGCGTTCAGCATTATCCTACTGTGTACAACAAGTACGAAACTACGGCTATCATCACTACCTCTGTCTACTTGAGCTCCCACCCGAGATGCGTAAAGCCGCATTTGCTCTCCGAGCTTTCAACGTAGAAACCGCAAGAGCCATGGATGTTGCACCTGATCCCGAAATCGGCTCGATGCGTTTACTTTGGTGGCAAGAAGCAATCGACAAGCTCTACATCAAGAAGCATCCGTGATGCTCAAAGAGAAGTTGAGGATATACCCGAGAGTATCGAGGAGCTTGAGAGATATGCAGAGGATACGGTTTCCACGCTTCTGTACAATACACTCCAAGCAGGCGGAATCAGTTCAACAGCAGTGGATCATGCAGCTTCCCACATCGGTAAAGCCAGTGGTCTTGTCTCGCTACTGAAATTGTTATCTTACCACTGTACAAGAAACCGTGAACAGAGTAACAAAGTTACATCCCTGCGAATCTCGCTGAGAAGCACGGGTTGCTTGTGAAACAAGGAGGACGATCAGAGATCCTTCTGGATGTGAACTCAAGAGAAGGATTCTGCAATGTAGTGTTTGAGATTGCATCTGTTGCCAATGTACATCTCTTGAAAGCCCGTGAACTTGCGGGAAAAGTTCCTGCAGAAGCTAAACCGGTCCTGCTTCATTCTGTGCCGGTACAAGTTCTTCTTTATTCGTTAAGTAAAGTACATTTCGATGTGTTTGATCTGAGGATTCAGAGAGGAGTTTTTGGTGTTTCTCCACTTTGGTTTCAGTATAAATTCAAGTGGTATTCATGGAGAGCTATGTTCTGAAAACATTTGTCTTCTCCTCAGGCTTGATTGCCTTTTTTCTGGTTTCAAAAACATTATTACATTAAACTTTTATACTCTTTGTATTTTTACAAATGGTGAAATAAAAGAATTTTTCCCTTATTTTTTTCATGTATTATATACAGTTTAATAAAATAAAAACTGAAAATTTATGTAATAATTTATGTTTTATTTGTTATAATGTTTTTGTATTAAGTCTGTATTAATGAAATTATTATTATAAGTTTTTTATAAAATTTTGTATTATATGTTTTTGTATTAAATCTGTATTAATAAAAGTTTTTATTATAAATCCTTCGTTAAATTATTATTATAAGTTTATTTAAAAAAACCAATTAAATTTCTCCCATTGGACTCCCTTAAAATGCAAGTTTCTTGATTAGATCTCTAAACCTATCTTAATAATATAAAAATGGTTAAAAGACTCATGAAGGTCTCTCCCATTGCACGTGCCTATTAGTTAAGGTAGTGGAAGAAGAGAGGGTAAAATCCAAGAGAGAGACAGAGAGGGAGTGATTCATTGTTTTTTAATCATTCTCTTAAGGATTCTATTCTCTGATTCAAGACGTTAAATATCCTCTGTCAAACTTCTTCTTCTTCCTCTTGCATTATTGTCTCTATCTCTGCGTTAATCTCCGTTACATTCTCTGTTTCTTCGATCGCAAACTCGTGACGTCCATAGAGGGTGTGAAATTCAAGTGTTAGAAGCATGTTTTTGGGGCGTTTTTGGGAATTGATTCGTGGTAATAAACGCAACAAGTGGACTCAGGAGATCAGGTTCCTCTCGAGTCAATGGCGAATGCACGGATTGAAACTTGAAATTCTTATGATGGCTATGTGGAATTATAAAGGGAGACATTTGCAATCAGACTGGAATCTATGTTGTGTTACTTTTGTCTAAAGTCACAAGTTTTTGACCTATGCAAGTATAGTGTTCGACGAAATGTCCCAGTGAAACTACATTTTTCATGGACCCGTTGGTACTAAGACGAGTGAAGAGAGAAAGATGACCCAAAATCTTATAAGAATAAGAAATTACAATGGACATAGACACTCTCTATTGAGGTAAACTCTAGTTACTGTTAGTCTTTTACTTTTGCATTCCCTGATGAAAAAAAAATGTGTTCATATCAGCAATGGTAGATGTAATGATATCATTTCTTTTGTGTTTTGTATGGGCACAATATTTTGACTGTTCATAATTTATATGTTCATATCCATACCTCCATCGCTCTGTTAGAAAATGAAATTCATAGGTATTCAGTTTTTGGCCTTGTTAATTTCTTTTGTAGTATTTGATTTCCTGGTTATTATAGACTTGATGGGTTTGTATAAATCTGATGTGTGGAACCTATCTAAAAATCTAACTTGCGAAACCTCCATCGCTCATTTTGAAATGCCATTAATCCATATCTACGTAGTTGGTCTAATATTGCCAGAAATAGATGGCCCTACGGACTTTATTTGACGTAAACTACGACCAATCAAAGTCTTTTCAATTGGAAAATAAGTGTTCTGAGATTAGAATAGCCCACATGATAGGAATTGGGGACCAAACCAATCCCACAAAAACCCGTGGGGGTAAACTTCACGACAAAAGCTGAGCTTATGAGTGAGGACATATGCATGTGGATCGGAGACTTAGAATAATCAAAGTCTTTGCTTAAAATTTTCACCAGTCACTACATTCTTATCACAAACATCTCATGAGGACAATGAGTGGTCTGAGATTAGAATAATCAAGCTCTTTCTCACGTAACATATCTTACGTCACATATCTTACGTAACATACTCGATTGGAGACTTCGCGTGTTTCTATTTAAGCATGTGTTGCAGAAGGCAAAAATTAAGAAAGAAAAAAAGAAAACAAAAAGAAAACTGAGGCAGCAAAAGCCTAAGTGGTGAAGAGTGAAGTTATGTCGTTTGTTGTTGATATTAATGGAGCAGCAGAATTGGTAGCTAAAGATGCAAATCGGAGTGGAAGATCAAGTACGAGCGCTCATGGTGAAAATATCTATGAGAAATTGAAGAAGGCGGCTCAAGATGGAGATGTAAAAAGACTCTACCAGTTGATAGCAGAAGATCCAGACATTCTAGCTCACTTTGATAAAGCGCCCTTTTGTGAGACGCCACTACACATTGCAGCTGAAAGAGGGCAAACTCATTTTGCCATGGAGTTAGTGACCCTTAAGCCATCATTTGCTTCGAAGCTGAACGTGTCAGGTTTCAGCCCGTTGCATTTAGCCCTGCAAAACAAGCACACTCGAATGGTGAGAGGGTTTGTGGCAATTGACAGCAGCTTAATCAGGATCAAGGGGGAAGGAAGGATTACTCCTTTGCATCATGTGGCTCAAACAGGCGATGCAGAGTTGTTGAGTGAGTTCTTGTTCGCTTGTCCTTCTTCCATAGAAGATTTGACGACTAAGTGTGAGACAGCTGTGCACATTGCCGTGAAGAATCAGCAGCTTTTGGCATTTAAGGTTCTGTATGGATGGGTCAAGAGAGAAGACAGGAAGAAAGTCTTGGACTGGAAGGATGAAGATGGTAACACAGTCTTCCATATTGCTGCATCAATGAATCAAACTGAGGTAAATGTCTCTCTTATCATTTAGTTTCTGCTTTTCCTCAAAATCCTTGTTCAGACATAGCTGGTTGTACATTAAAATAGAGAGATATCCTCTCTATGCTTTCTTCGATTTATTTTGTGAAATTATATGGGTTTCTGTGTTCATAAGTAGGAGGATATTCCTTGACCCTAGTATATATTTCTTTAATTATGTCTCATATTCTGATCAGTTATCAATGTTGGATTCTTTATCCTAATAACTATGCGTGAGGTGTGCTTGATTTTTGCAGGTCATAAAGTTGCTGCGTAAAACCGTTAAAGTAGAAGCCAAGAACTTGGATGGCAAAACCGCCATGGACATACTCCAAACTTCAAAAACTCCAAAATATCCCACAAAGACTCTTGCGGGATATTTGAGCCAAGATCTATCGTTTATTGAGGAACATGAAATTCTCTTGGGGCTGAGCAATGCGAGCATGACTAGTGAAGGATCTCTAAAGACTAGCAAACGCCACGATGCAATACTTGTGGTGGCTGTACTGATAGCAACAGCTACATACCAGGCTGGTCTCAGTCCTCCAGGCGGACTTTGGCAGGAGAATTCCGAACGCAACGCTACCTATCCAAATATACACAAGGCTGGGGAGATGACTATGTCTTTCTACCCTGCCTTCATTTTTCTAGGCATCAACGGGTTGGCCTTCTTTTTTTCTATATATGTGATCACACTCCTCATAATTGGACTCCCCATGTGGAAGTTCATCAATAGCGCAACGTTGGCTTTATGTGTTGCTCTTTTATCATCATACACCAAAATATTCCCGAAATCACCTGGCGGATCTGGACGTTTCTTCAAGGTCTTCATCATTATTGCACTCCCACTTTTTTGGGCAACCATGCTGTATGTTACTGGGCGTCAATTCGATGATGATAAACGTCGCCTGCGCCAAGTGGACTTCCCGGCGAGCTGCTTCAGCTCATCTAGTGAATCGGATCTTCACCTTCCTTTAATGTGGCGCGCCTGCACCACGGCGACTGCTGTTTTATTAGCAGAAGCAGTAATTATTATTTTAATTATATTTGTATTTTAATGAATGAATTTACAACTTTGACTTCTTCTTTCTCTATTGAGTCTTTGATTATCAACATATCAAGACTATGTCCATTGTAACTTTTGTGTTAAATAAAATATTTACAACTTTGATATTGAATATAGTAAAGATCTTTGTTTTTGTTAATTAAAGTCGTGAAGAGGAGGAGCATTTAATTTGATTTTGATATTGAATGAATTTACAACTTTGAGTTCTTCTTTCTCTCTTGATATAATCAAAGATCTTCAAGAAAAATTCCGCGTTTGGTTATTATTTGAATCAACGAAAACTGGATATGTTTAATGTTTTATTGATAATCAAAGTGTTGTGATAACTGATAAGCAACATTAGTTTATTCAACAGAACCGGTTTGGTTATGTTCATTGATACAAAGATTCAGCCGAAAACCAATGGTTCATTGGTTATGGTTTAGTTGGCTCAAGTTGTACCGGTTTTGCTCTATCTATAAGAGAGGAGTGAGAAGGGAGAGATTATATGCGTTAGTTAGAAGAAGAGGAGGCCCTTCCGCTTTGAAGCGGCTTGGATAACACATAAGAGTTTTAAGGAGTTGCTGTGAAATTCTTGGAATCCTGATATATCAACGCCACAAGCTTTGAAAAGGTTGCGAGACAAGCTTAAAAGATGGAACCGGGATGTGTTTGGAAACGTGCATAAACGTAAGGATGATTTACTTGCGGAAGTGAAGCAAGTTCAAGACCAGATTGATATTATTCAAACCACAGAGTTGCTGGAAAGGGAGAGTGAGTTAATTAAGGAGCTCGATTTGGTTTTAGAACAAGAGAAAATCCTTTGGTTTCAAAAATCAAGAGAGAAAGGGATAGCCCTTGGAGATCGCAACACGAAGTTCTTTCACACTACAACGATTATTCGGAGGGGGCGAAATCGAATTGAGATGTTGAAAGGTAATGATGGGAGGTGGATTTCAAATCCGGAAGAGCTAGAGAATATGGCGGTGGAGTATTACAAAAGGCTTTACTCTATGGTTGATGTTGAACCGGTGGTGGAGTTGTTACCATCCGCGGGTTTTGCGGTGTTGGCTCGGCATGATTCTCATGGTTTGAATAGGCCATTTACTTGTTTGGAAGTTCAGGAGGCATTAAGGAGTATGGGGAAGTTTAAGGCTCCTGGACCGGATGGATTTCAACAGGGGTTCTATCAAGAGTGTTGGGATGTTGTTGGTAGCTCGGTGGAGAGGTTTGTGTTGGAATTTTTGAGAAGGGAATTTTGCAGGAAGGATTAAATGATGCGCTGCTTGTTTTGATTCCGAAAGTGGGAAAACCAGAAACTATTACACAATTTCGGCCGATCAGCTTGTGTAATGTGCTCTTTAAAATCATAACTAAAGTGTTGGTGACGAGAATGAAAGTGGTGATGCCGCAGCTTATAGGACCTGCTCAATCCAGCTTTATACCGGGTCGGTTAAGCTCTGATAACATTATTATTGTTCAGGAAGCGGTTCACTCGATGCGGAGGAAGAAAGGGCGTAAAGGATGGATGTTGCTTAAGCTGGATCTCGAGAAAGCATATGATCGAATCCGTTGGGATTTCTTAGTAGATACATTAGTTGCAGCGAGGTTTCCTGAGAAGTGGATTTCCTGGATCATGAAATGCGTCACGGGCCCGTCTATGAACGTACTTTGGAATGGGGAGAAATCAGAGTCATTCAAACCGATGAGGGGTTTAAGACAGGGTGACCCGCTTTCACCGTACCTCTTTGTCTTGTGTCTTGAGAGGCTGTGTCACTTGATTGATCAGGAGATAGGTTCGGGTGGTTGGAAACCGATCACCTTGTCTCGAGGGGGTCCTAAGCTTTCTCATGTATGCTTTGCGGATGATCTCATCTTGTTTGCTGAAGCCTCGGTTGCGCAAATAAGGGTTATCCGGCGAGTGTTGGAGAGGTTTTGTGTTGCTTCGGTTCAAAAGATTAGTTTGGAGAAGTCAAAAATCTTTTTCTCGAGCAATGTTAGCCGTGATTTAGGGAAAGCAATAAGTGATGAGAGTGGTATTAGGTCGACGCGGGAGTTGGGGAAATATCTCGGGATGCCTATCTTGCAGAAACGGATCAATAAAACCACGTTTGGAGATGTTTTGGAGAGGGTCTCTTCAAGGTTGGCGGGTTGGAAAGGTAGATGCTTGAGTCTCGCGGGGAGAATTACGATGACTAAATCGGTTCTTTCATCGATTCCGGTTCATACCATGAGCACGATTCTATTACCGAAATCGATGTTAGAAAGTTTGGAGAAAGCTTCGAGGAATTTTCTTTGGGGAAGCGAGAATGGGAAAAGAAATCAACATTTATTGAGTTGGAAGAAGGTGTGTCGGCCGAAGTGTGAAGGGGGCTTAGGGATCAGAGCGGCGTCTGACATGAATAAATCTCTTATTGCCAAGCTAGGATGGAGATTATTAAATGATCGTCAAAGCTTGTGGGCAAGAGTTATAAGATGCAAATACAAGGTGAAGGATGTTCATGATCCATCTTGGAGGGTTCCTAAAGTAATTGGTCTTCGACATGGAGAAGTGTGAACGTGGGGCTACGAGAGGTGGTGATCCCGGGAATGAGCTGGGCTATCGGCGATGGTAAGAAGATTCGACTTTGGGAGGACGCATGGTTGTTGAAGAAACCCCTACGGGAGGTAACTATTATGCCATTACCGGCTGGTTCAGAAGAACTGCGGGCTTGTGATTTATGGCAGCATGGGACGGGTTGACTCAAAATATCAGGCCGTATGTATCCGTGGATGTCCTTCTACAGCTTGGTTCGGTGGTGATTGATAATGTAGCTGCATTGGAAGATATGATGGCTTGGGGAGGAAATTCTGATGGGCTTTTCACAGTGAAGTCGTCTTATTCGAAGTTGACTACGGATGATACACCGAGACCGAATTTGAGCTCTCTGTTTCAGCAGATTTGGAACTTGGTTGTACCGGAGAGAGTGCGGAGCTTTGTTTGGTTGGGTGTTCACCAAGTGTTGATGACGAATGTTGAGCGTCAAAGGAGACATCTTAGTGACTCGGGTTTATGTCAGGTATGTAAGAGTGGCGACGAAACGATTATGCACATTTTGCGTGATTGTCCAGCAATGGAAGGCATCTGGAGGAGATTGATCCCGCAAAGGTGATGCGGTTGTGCTGAGTGTGTCAACTACGTGAGGGAACAAGTTTTACCCTTAACAAAACAAAAGAAAGCCGCAAGTGCACAGCTAATCTGTTGCAGTATTTAGGGATCGAATCCACAGAGATTTGTGTGCCTGGTATTCTTCTACGGTTTTTAACTTTATGTCTAGACTAAATTGGTTTTAAAGGTTGGTTGTTTTTCTCGAATTTAAACTAAAGCAAAAGAAAGTAAATAAATCTATCCTAAAAAGCAAGTAAAGAAATCGAATGAAAGGCAGTAGAACAAGTAGAATATCGAACTAAACAAAGATAAGGCAAGTAAAATATCGCATGAAATGTAAATAAAGCAAGTAAATAACGAACTAAGGAAATTAAAATGCAGGTCTAAGAAAGCATGTAAAAATCGATGGAAATTGTAAACTATGGCTAAAAACGCTGAGCTTTTGGGAACTCTAAGGGATCATAATCGGTTTTAACATTAGGGTAGATAGATTGGGATTGACGGATAACAATATATGGGTTCTAGAGCTAGAGTACGGCGGTATGACTACGTCACTGTCGTGATCATAACCAACTGTTTCTCGCAACCCTGACCAGTAGGTTTCCACTCTGGCCCTGGAAGGGAGAGAACGCAAGAGCTGCATAAGACTCGTCAATACTCACGATCTCACCGCAGGTAGGTTTCCACTCCTACGGAAAAATCGCCTGTTTCATTCTAGGGCTGATACTTAATGAAAACTTTCGCAACACTAACTATCTAGATCAGATACTAGGTGATCAATCAAGCATACATGCAATAAGAACAAGAATAAACAGAGAACAGGTCGAAATCCCAGATCTATAAACCTAGATGTCTTAATCGATTATGAGAGCCCCTTTCGGGAACCCTAAGCCCAACTCGGGATCTACTCAGACATGGCTGAGTTCGACATCATCATTGGTTTCAATAAAAGTAATGAAAAACAGTAAAGAAAAGAGATAAAGAAAGCTTCTCTATTGAAGAACTCGGACTTGAACAATCTTCTACAAAAATCTCATAAAAACGGCTAAAGGAAAAAGGGTTTCTGCAAAGTGTGTAAAGCTCTCTCTAAAAACGACCAAAATGACATGTATTTATAGTCTCCAATGCTCCATGGTCTCTAGGGTTCCGGAATTGAGGCTGGGAATGACTTTGGGCTTCAGATAAGTGGGCTTTAAGTCGGAGCTTGAATGCCGCGGTCGGGAGTGCTGTGACCGCGGCAATTGGCTTGTTTCCCGCGGTCGGGAAGCTTCTGACCGCGGCAAATAGGTTGCTGGCCGCGGTCGCGTGAGCTGCTGGCCGACTCCGCGTGGCTTCGGGGCTAATGGATTATCTTGAGATCCAACCGTTGGAATGTCTCCAAACCAAGTGCATTTGAAAGCTGGTTGATTCTTCTATAAGTTGTCCAATTTTGGGGGTGATCAGACGGTGAGAAGGTCTTCGTCTCTCCATGAGAGTTCTGACGGTCTGCATTTATCCAAAAGAGTCTTTTTGTTCCATTTTGTGCCTCTTTATCCCAAATTACCTGAAAAGTCTTTTAAAATCCGGAAACATAGAAATCCTTTGAAAACCTTTGAAAATGGAGTAAAAACACCTGTAAAAGATATTAAAATGATCCATAAAAATGGTCAAAATCCGGTGTTATCAACTCCCCCAGACTTAGTCTTTTGTTTGTCCTCAAACAAAACAAAGGCTAATCTCGGCGAGAGGTTTGAAAACGCAGGAACTAAACAAAATCTCAGAGACCAAACTTCTAGACCAATATCAATCAGTATGCATCAATTGGGAATAGCCTAGAAAATTCTCACTAGCAATACAGGCATAACTAGTCCGTTAATCCGTCATGCAGAAATCTATGCACTAAGATCTAACTTCCAGTCAACTAACTCTTAACATTCATTAAAATTTCGGTGGTTCTCATCATAGAAAATCTAGGCAAGGCAATCTAGGCTAGGTGTAAGGAAGGATTAT